CTGCTTGGGGTGATATGATGGTCCTTAGCATGTTGTCCTAACAGAAATCTTTTATGTTCATCGATATGTTGGTAGAGGTGTCGGTTTGTGTATCCGACATAACTTGCATCACACAAGTCACATTTAAATCTGTACACAACACACTGCTGATTTATGATTGTAGGTTTTCTTTCTGTTTACTTAATTTCATCACTTATTTTTCTGCTTGTGAAAACAGGAAAAATGTTTTGGTCTATTTTGTTGCTTATGTTGGCGTAGTTGACGCTTAACTGAGTTGGCAGCTGGTCTTTGAATGGTAGAATAATTCGGATGGGCATTTCCTTCTCATCGGCTTCACTATTACTAAATTTATTATCAGTCTCTAGAGTTGACTTAAACATTTGAATTGTGGATGTGATGAGGTCATCTGTGTATTCAAGGCGTTTGAAAATCCTTCTTAGGTTATCACATTCCTCGTTGAATAAGTGGCTGGATGATGATAGTTTGTAGGCCCGATTCAACATGGTAATTAAAAGTGTCTTCTTGTGCTTATTGTCTACATGGCTTCTATAGTGAAGAAGTAATCCTGTGTCTGATGGCTTTCTATAAATGCGTGTGTGTAACTTGACGCAGGGTTCCCGGAACGCCGCCCTCAGCTGCGAGTGCGAAGCACAACTCAGGCTCAAAAGTGGAACGTGAAATTTGGATATGGTTTTGTAGTCAGATTTGCGAGAAAAACTTCAGCTACCCGTATTTCTCGACTGAGACGTCAGTAGGAGCTGTAATTTGTATGGCAAGGAGATTGAGCAACCCTTCATTCATATTAAGGGAATTTGTAGTTATTAATATTTTGGTTATGATAGAAAATATTCATTTTTCGGTGACGTCACACTCACGTTGCATGCATACGTCATAAGGTAGATACAGTACGTCACCTTTTCCTGGTAAGGCAAACTTTCCCGGCGTGCTTTTTTCATGGATAAACAAACACCACTGCTTTGCACATGCATGGATGCCTTGCCCAAGCCAGGGCTACAGGAGCCGCATTGTTAGATGCATTGTATAATACTTAAATAAGGTACCTCTGCAAATGAATTATTCTTAGTTTTTTTTTTTTTTCTTTTTTTAATTTATTTCTTCCGAAAGTGAACTTTCTATCACACATAATTCCACTGTCAGTTAGGCCTAGTCTTATGCCTCATCGTCCCCCGCTACACAGTACATCAGGAGCCCCTCCCCCATACAGTACAGACGTTTGCTAGGTAACAACGTGATTGCACCTTCCTTCCCAGGTGTTCATGTAACATTGACATAATTGTTAGCTAACCAGTTGTGTGCATTTCTTTGTGAAAATGAGTACCGCGGCGTAGTCATTTTCACAAAGCATCATTTGCATCCCCTCTTGGAAAGAGGGATTCGAAATAATTGTCTCCATATCTTCGCTAATTAAATTAATCACCGTAATTTAGCTTACACTTATGAATTTAGGGAGCACTTAAAATGTGAAATAATCATTTCACTACCCGACAAACTCCGAACTTTATTCATTCATTAAGCCTACATAATAGTTTCATATTGCTGTACTATATACCCCAACATCACTGGCGCATGGTAACAACCAACTGACTGCAGACCATTTCCGGTCACACATTACTCTCCATAACACAGCACCCCCTAGTTCCGTCACCTCTGGTTAGAGTACTTAGTAATTATGCATTCCTAGGAAAGGAATAGAATTGTTCACAGCAGTTTCCATAGTGAAGTTTATGGCAGGATGAATGTTGTTGAGCAAGTCAAGAAATTGCATGGCAGATTCTGTGTTAGGCAAAAATACTAGAGTATCATCAATGTATCGCTTGTAATATTTCGGCATTTGATTGCTAGATTCAAGGCGTTCCTCTATATTGCACATGCGAATGCATTTGCCATATAGGTGGACCTAAGGGTGATCCCATTGCTACTCCATCGATCTGTTCATACAAGTTACTTTGAAATTTAAAAAGCTGGTCTTTAGTTGCAATATTAAGAAGAGTAATGAGGTCCGGTTTACTTAAGTTGAGTCCATATGTGACATTAAACCAGTTGTCAGTGAAGGTTTTATCAGCAATAATTTGAATTGTCTCATCCAATGGAACATTAGTAAATAAGGAGGAAACATCATATGATACTAATATATCATCGACGTTGATATCAGTAGAGCAAATATCACTAGCAAAGCTAAACACGTTATCAATTGTGTACTTGTTCTGGGAGAGTGGTTTTAACTTCTCATCTAACCATTGCGCTAGTTTATAATTGTATGTCCCAGTTGCTGACAAGATAGAAACGTCGATCTTTTCTTTTTAGCGTTATTTTTATGTTAAATAAAAGAAAATATTCAAAACATAAACAATACGATGCAACTTGTGACGCAAGTTCCTCGTACTGCCTGCGTGATGCCAGTTACCGGAACGGAAAACGCAGTACAGAACATTTATTTAAATAATTATGGTAAGCCTACGTTTCAAGACTGACATCTGTTCTATTTTCTCTATGCATAAACACAAACTTTGATAGTGCAGGAAACAAGAGTACTGAGGTAGACAACATTTCATTTTCTGGTTGGTACTTTACAAAAAATCTGACTAAAATAAGAAATTATTTATATTTGCATAAGCATTAAACATAATTAGTTTGCTTATTTCTTCTGTAAGTAATAATAATAATGAAGACAATTGTTCTTTATAAACAAAGCAAAGCCTGTATTTAAAAAAAATTAAATCAATAACAACACTGCTGCAGTAGTTTTTTATTTTTTTTAAGCAAGTTGTTTTTCTATAGGCAGGCTATTCTGCTGCATTTGCGGCATTCTGAGTAGATTAGAGTTCAATGGTTGAATCCTTAAGCATCATTATAAAGTTTTTAACATTGCACGTTCATAACCGTCGTTGTCTGCAAATCTGTACAGAATTTAAAATTGGTGTGCCTAAAAATAAATAAAATATATTGGTTACATATATATAATGTATTCAATAATACACTGAGTATAGAGATTGGTATGCTTTTGGTATTTTTTACTAACACTAAAGCCTGAGTTATTAATTTAAATTATTACAACATGAATCAAATTGTGCTTGCGACAGCAACTTTATTTTATTGTATCTCAGTCACAATGCCCGAAATAATATTTTGGGAAACACACTACACTAGTGATATAGGCTGTACCTTGTTTTTTTTGTCTTTTTTTTACAGGTTAGCAGTTTCGAGAGAATTCTCTTTGGTGCCAGGCTTTAAGAAGCCCATTTCTCTTTTGGTATTCCGCTAACCTGTCTGTTTTTTTGTGTACTTCATTTTCATGCGTTTTTGTATATGAACATGCCGAATTTTAATAAATAGAAAAAAGTACTGTAGTATTATTGTGTCTTCTAATCT